TAATGCAATCCAGCATTCTAGACCAGCATTCTGTTTCACACAGTGACTGGCTTGCTGCTCTAGAGGACCATAGAGGCTAAGGCCTCCTTCTTGTGACCTCCTACCACTAGTGTTCAGAGGTTTTCTGCACTGGTATTTAGAGGTTTCCTGCCTCTCAAAATGGAGAATCCCCTTAGTCACAAAAGCTAGAACCCACTGATGGATGTGTTGCACAACTCTGATGTAAAGAACATCACATCTCTTAAAATAATTGGGTATTCATTTATTTATTTTTAAGTACACATTTTGAACAGAGAAAATTTAGAAATTTGGGCACAAAAAAGAACAGTATTGGCTATAATTTCTTCATACAAAAAAGTCAACTTGAAGGGGAGAAATTCTTTCCCCCCCCTTTCCTTAAAAAGTCAGGGGCTGCTTTTCTTGTTTCTTTCAGAATGAGTTCCATGGATCTGGACTCAGCACTACCAATTTAGCACCAGATGCTATCTCAAAGCAAGTCCACCTGTCAGGAGTGAAAAGAAACATCATCAGTATAAAGATGAAGGGAGCATCTCTAGAAACATCCGAACCACTGATGGATCTCACTGCTTATCCAATCCTCAGAGACCTCCCATGCTGATAGTCCAAGACGTATATCAGGGTTCCACGTTTTGTAATGAAAGAAGAAGTAGAAGAAGAAGAGATTGGATTTATACCCCGCCCTTCACTACCCAAAGGTGTCTCAGAGCGGTTTACAAACTCCTTTCCTTTCCTCTCCCCACAACAGACACCTTGTGAGGTGGGTGGGGCTGAGAGAACTCTGACACAAACTGCTCTTTTTCTAGGACAGCTGTGCCAGAGCTTGTGACTGACCCAAGGTCACATCAGCAGGTGCAAGTGGAGGAGTGGGGAATCAAACCTGGTTCTCCCAGATTAGAGTCTGCACACTTAATCACTACACCAAACTGGCTCAAAATGCAGATAAAGAGAACTGAAAAGTTACTGCTTAACATCACCAATAACTGTAATGATCCTAGGCCTATAGCAATGAGGCATACAGACTCTATGAAGGCCTACAGGCTCGAGGGAAGCCTGCACTAGAGTGTCTACAGGGCCTACCTTTCCCAGGTACCCTTTGGACCCTGTGATTGGTTAACAGGGGATTTGGAGAGAAAGCGTCAACCCGTACAGGAATATAAGATGGTGTCAAGAAAGAAGTGATAAAAAGCCTAGCCCAAAGTGGGAGGTTGTTCACTCCAAGGAAGCAGAGCTGAGGAAAGGCAGCTACAGAAGGAGGGGTCCCTCATACAGGAAGGGGTGAGTCACTTTGAAGCCAGTCACCAAGAGACATCTAGGGTCAGACGCATTAGGGTTCTTTTCTTTGTTTGTGTATCTGCCTTGACAGTTCTCAATATTTTACACATTACTTGAATTACAGTTGTTATTATTTGTTGTTGTTCAGTCACACAGTCGAGTCCGACTCTTCGCGACCCCATGGACCAGATCACGCCAGGCCTTCCTGTCTTCCGCCGTCCTCTGAAGTTTGCTCAATTTCATGTTCACTGCATCTATGACACTGTCTAACCATCTCATCCTTTGCCGTCCCCATCTTCTTTGACCTTCAGTCTTTCCCAGCATCAGGGTCTTCTCCAGTGAGTGCTCCCTTCTCATTTGGTGGCCAAAGTAGTTGAGCTTCAGCTTCAGTATCTGGCCTTCCAGGGAACAGTCAGGGTTGATTTCATGTTAATTATTCTGCCTGGGTCCACACACCTCATTTGGTCACGTATAAAGCATACCCTACTGAGAAAGAGTGGACATAAGGAGTTGGGTGGGTGCTCTGAGCCCTCCCAAGGAGACCCTGTACCAGAATGGTGGCAGCCTATGGAGAACCTTGCTAGTCACGATCATGACAGAAACTTTCATTAAGTATCCGTACAGGTTTTATAGCTCAAAAAAAAAAAAAAGGAAGTGGCACAAACAAGGACTCCCTATAAGTCATTGAAGAACAAGAGCACCCTGGGAAAGTTATTTCAGTTTGCCAGCACAAATCTTCCCATGGTCCATACTTGGGTTCCTGCTAACCGTTCACCTCTCCTGTTTTCTGAAAAGCATCTCTAGGAAGCTCTTGAGTCCCAGATAAATCTTTGCCTGCCTTTTCATTCTCATGACAGTTCTTTTACTGGCATCCTACCTACGCTCGCAATATGCTTAACTTAAAGTCTTCCTATTCCTTTTTAGAGCATTGCCTTTGCTTCCTTACTGAGCCACATTGGTGTCCAGAGCCAGAAGTTGCAGGGTGTTGAAGCTATGACTTCTAGACCAGCTCTGAATCATTCAAGAACAATTGCATGGTGACCAGGTCTAACCATTCAGGTATATACTAACCAGTTATAAAAAACAGAGGGAACAAGACCCAGCCAGCACGAAAGGGCCATCCAAGCCACGTTGTGTGGTATGAGAATGAACGGTTGTACAGTTCTGTGAATGAGGCCATGGCAACCATGAAGCAAACACCTGGGAACATTAAAAAAACAAAACAGGAGTTATTTCTTAGGAACCCCCAGTCCCTGCAGAGTTCTTGTACCTGCCTCACCATACAGAGGAGCTGGTAGTCCTGTTTGTGATGTTAATGGTTTTAAGCAAAATGAATTAGGTTTTCCAGCTCCCTCCTGGTAACCCGCGGAGGATGTGGGGGGACTTACCGGAAGCAGCAGGTAGGCCCAGCCAACATACAGTGACATGTCTACATCACTGCCCACTAGGGTTGCCAACCCCCCTCCACCAAACCCCCCCCCCCCGGTTTGGCAGGGCTCCCCCGCTTTTGGGGGGTTTTACCCGCCGCAGGCCAGCTGGCCGACAGGGGAACCCCCACCCCCAAGCTTCAACACCTGCAGCCATCCCTCTCCCTTCTCCCTGCATTTAAAGGGGCTCCTTTTAAGTGCAGGGAGATGGCGTTTCCCACGCACCCGATCTCCAAGCAGAGATTGGGCATGCGAAGCCTTCCAGCTCCCTGCACTTAAAGGGGCCCCTTTAAGTGCAGGGAGCGGGTGTTTCCCCATGCACCCACTGGGTGGGTGAGTCGGGGTGGACATCCCCTCCGGGAACGCCCCCCAAAGTCTCCCGCTGGGGGGTAGAATGGACTTGGCAACCCTACTGCCCATGTACCCGTAAGTGACAATCACTTAAAGGATGTTGGGGTGATGTTCTGGTATTTGGGGAAAGCTCTGTGGTAAATTTGGTCTCCAACATAGAGTTTTGCCCAAATAACAGTGTGTTGGCCCAATGTCCAGGAAGTGATGACATAACTTCCAGGTCACAAGGTCAGTGACACTGACATGTTGCTTCAGGTCAAACGATTCTCCCTCTTTTTCAGAATGAGTCCTCCCCTGTCGGCCAGCTGATCGGTGGCAGGGAGGTGGATCCTGGCAGCAGGGGACCCCCACTTCTACTGGGGGGGGGGCTGGCAACCCTAGAATAGCCCCACAGCAACTGTAGAGAAGAGAAGCCTTGGAAAATGTCTCAGGGCTACTTGGCCAAACCCAAATCCACAGCTTGAGTGGGTGTCCCTGAACAGAAGGTCGCTGAGTTGCCAAACTCCTTATGGTAATGAAGACTTATCTCCAGACTACAGACAAAGGTCATTTCGGGGGGGAACACGGAGGATCGCAGTTCCCCCGGGTGAGGTACAGGGGGCAGGGCACATGACGAAGCCCCGCCCCCTGCTTCCACCCGCCCCGCTTCCAGCCCTCCTTCAGCCAGGAGGAGGCAGGAGAAGAGGGAGGGTAAGTTGCTTCCCCCCTGCCTCTCCCCACCCCTGCCTGCCTGGGGCCAGGGAGGGCCCTGGCGGGGAGTCCTCACACTCCCGCCAGCCTTGCAGGTCCACCGCCGGGCCCCTGATGTCAGGGTGTGTGGCATATGCTAATGAGTTATGCTAATGGGTTCCCCTAGCTCTTCTCTTTGAATGTAAAGAGAAGTTTATAGCTTGTTGGCTTGTTGCCTTAAGTAATTTAGTGCCTTGTGTAAAGCTAATGGGTGCTGGCAAACACCGGGCGTGCTAGAGAAGAGGGAGGAGAACAGCAGCATTCCCGACCAGCAAGCAGGAAAAAATAGCAGATCGAAGAAAGCATTACACCAGGATAGAGCCAGCGCTATCCGAAGACATTTCCGTGGTCATGTGGCCGGCATGACTAAACACCAAGGTGCACGGAACGCTGTTACCTTCCCACTGAAGTGGTACCTATTTATCTACTTGCAATTTCTTGCTTTCGAACTGCTAGGTTGGCAGGAGCTGGAACTAGAGACAGGAGCTCACTCCGTCATGCGGCACACTCGGGTCTCAAACTGCTGAACTACCGACCTTCCACAGCCTGCAGTTCAGCGTCTTAACCATTTGAGCCACCACAGCTACATGAACCCAATTATGTGATCCTGGGTCAATCGCCCAGCCTTGTCTTAACCGACCTCATAAGGTTGTTATGAAGATAATAAGGAGGAGAGAACTACATAACCTGCTTTGGGTCCTGATTGGGATGAAAGGTGAGGTATAGATGAAGTAATCATTCAAAAGATAAGGAATGAAATTTTTTTTAAAAAGGCATAGCAAACCCATGCAAATACAGAAGTTAACCACTTGAGCCACCGCAGCTACATGAACCCAATTATGTGATCTTGGGTCAATCGCCCAGCCTTGTCTTAACTGACCTCATAAGGTTGTTATGAAGATAATAAGGAGGGGAGAACTACATAACCTGCTTTGGGTCCTGATTGGGATGAAAGGTGAGGTATAAATGAAGTAATCATTCAAAAGATAAGGAATGAAATTTTAAAAAAGGCATAGCAAACCCATGCAAAGAAACTGAGGGAGTCCCACCACTTCTAGCCAATTCAATGACATACCTGCCACACAGCTGGCCGACATGGCAACAATATATATGGAAATGGAGCCAACGTGGGTGTGGGAAAACAAGGCATAAAGACCAAAGAATGAAATAGCCCCGGCAACCATCCCCATGAACAGGAAGGCTCGGGTGGCGTGGATATAAGCTGCAACAAGAGAGAAGGGGTGGGGGCGGGAGGTTAAAATTGCATTAATGAAACACAGCAGGAAAATAAACTTGATGTGAACATGTATATGATTGCATCCACATTCTTGTGTGTGTTGTTGTTTTTTAGTTATGTACAGGATAGTATGTGTGAAGTAGCATGGTGCAATATGAACAAGAATCTAGATGTAAAGATAGAAGAAGAAGAAGAGATTGGATTTATACCCCACCCTTCACTACCCAAAGGTGTCTCAGAGCTGCTTACAAACTCCTTTCCCTTCCCCTCCTCACAACAGACACCCTGTGAGGTAGGTGGGGCTGAGAGAACTCTTGACAGAAACTGCTCTTTTTCAAGAACAGCTGTGCCAGAGTTATGGCTTGCCCAAGGTCATCCAGCCAGGTGCACGTGGAGGAGTGGGGAATCAAACCCAGTTCTCCCAGATTAGAGTCCCAGATTAGAGTCAAACCTGGTTCTCCCAGATTAGAGTCCGCACACTTAACCACTACACCAAAGATAGTGACAGTCGTATTGCTTTTATAGTGTTTTACAGTCAAGGAATAATAGGAACTGGGAGGGACTGTGGCTTGGCATGCAGAAGGTCCTAGGTTCAATCCCTGGCATCTCCAGCTAAAAAGGAACCAGGCAGTAGGTGATGTGAAAGATCTCAGGCTGAGACCCAGTCTGAGTAGATAATACTGACTCTCAGGGCTACTTTTGAGCAGGAACGCACAGGAATGGAGTTCCGGATGGCTTCAGAGTTGGCCACGCCCACTACAGCCAAAACCTCTGCATGCGTGGCTACAGAGGGAAGGCCTGGAGACCGTCCCTGCTACAAAAAAAGGCCCTGGGTTTTGACAACAAACAATGTCAACAGAATAAGAAGCAAAAGGTGGGTGTGGCTGAATGAGCACACTTCTGGTGACATGGGGGTGTGGCCTAATATGCAAATGAGCTGTGCTGTCGGGGTGTGGCATAATATGCTAATGAGTTTCTGCTGTTAGGTGTGGCCTATTATGCTAATGAGTTCTTCCTGGGATTTTTCTTCCAAAAAAGCCTTGCTGACTCTGATACCTTGATGGACCAAAGGTCTGACTCAGTATAGGGCAGCTTCATGTGTTCATGTGAAACACTGCAGGAGTCTACTGTCAATCCCCCCCCCCCCGCAGCAACACACAAACATTTAATCCCAGCAACAGAATGACTGATCAACACTCTGGTGGCGCACAGGAGCGGAGCTCCGGCAGTAAAGAGCCCAGGGGGTGGGCACATGCAACAAGCCCCCCCCTGCCCCCAGCAGCCCTCAGTCACAGCAAGAAGCAGCCAGGTAAGTTGCAGAGCTCCCCTCAGCCACCCGGTCCAAAACAGTCCAGTGGCACCTTTGAGACCAAGATTTTTTATTCTGGTACAAGCTCTCCCTCCTCTGCGAGGACAGATCTGCACGTTCCCCCCCCCCCCAATAGCTAGCAATCCGAAACAGTCCAGTGAAGCCTGAGCGGTGGGTGTTGCCTTCTGACATACTTCCGGTGATGTCAGGGGGCGTGGCATATGCAAATAAGTTATGCTAATGAGCTCCTGCACCTCTTTTTCTACGCAATGACCCCTGCTTTACATGTTACCTTACCTGGCGCTTGCATCCTAAATGGCGTACAAATCTTATTCTCACAAATTTGCCACAATCCTAAGTGTGCGCCTTCTGAATTCCCTGCCCAGTAGTCTGAAGCCAGGGCAACGATGAGCAGAAAGAGGCTTCCGAAGGAGAAGAAGCAGGCGGTGATCCGCAGGCCTTCCATGGCGGAGGATGATCAGGTGTGTGGTGGCACGGCACGATGGGGATGAACCTGGGGGGAAGGGAACATGGAGGCTTTGGCATATATATGGCAACCCATTTAGGTATGCACACAGCAATGACCAAGTATTGGAAAATCTCTACAATGCTCCATGTGTGCCTTTGGCTTGTAAACAGAGATGAGCACCACATCCCTAGAGTCGGATTCGATTGGCTTTCAAGCAAGAGAAAGCTTTACCTTTACCTAAGAAGACATAAGGTGATGTTATTTTCACTGTAGACTTCTGAGTAGGTATGGCATTTCTGCACTTGCAGGGAATTTACATGTGCCTTCCTTGCCCCCTCCAATGCAGAAGATGGGGTAATTCCTCGAGGTTTGGAGAAGGTAGAATTTGAAGTGCTGGCTCTTTGGCTTGTAAACGGAGATGAGCACCGCAGCCCTAGAGTCGGATTCGATTGGCTTTCAAGCAAGAGAAAGCTTTACCTTTACCTAAGAAGACATAAAGTGATGTTATTTTCACTGTAGACTTCTGTGTTGGTATGGCATTTCTGCATTTGCAGGGAATTTACATGTGCTTTCCTTGCCCCCTCCAATGCAGAAGATGGGGTAATTCCTCGAGGTTTGGAGAAGGTAGAATTTGAGGAGGGGAAGGAGTTCAGGACTTGCATTTCTCCTAGTCTTTGTGGTATAACATAGCTTCAGAGAGCAGACTCCATGGTATCAATATTATCCTGCTGATTCCCTTACAAGAATGCAAAAATGAGCACATCACACCTTAAATTCTTTTGTATCCTGACATGGATTCCAACAGAAAGGAAGACCGATTTCCCACAAGCACTGCTCCACGCTCGCTTTTTGCCCCGATGGTACGTGTCAATTTCACACAAGCTGCTGCGCGGCCGCATTTTGCCCCGCAGCTTCGCGTGATTCCCCCCGCGTCTACTCAGTCCTCCCAAAAATAGGATTGAGTAGATGTGGGGAAAATCACGCGAAGCTGCGGGGCAAAATGCGGAGGCGCAGCAGCTTGTGTGAAATTGACATGTACCATCGGGGCAAAAGGTGAAGAGTGAGTGTGGAGCAGCGCTTGTGGGAAATCGGTCGAAGTTTTAAAACAGTTGGTGAAGGTTGGCCTCTGGGAGGTGATAAGAGACACTTGGTTACAAGTGAAAATGTTTTAATTGTGCTGACAGGAAAGCCTTCTATTCATGCATTTTTAGCACTCCAAAATCACATTATTACTCCCTTCCCCCCCCTCACTTGTTTATGACCGGACCATTTAATTGTGAGCTACATAAGGTTCCCCAAGAGGGAAAATGGCAGCTTACTGATGGGAAAATGCCATAGAGGGAAAGGCATAGGCCTCCTCTTCCTTCACATGAGGGTCCAGGTCCAAATACATGCCTAGGCCTGCTAACTGCTTGAAGAAACAGTGGCCTGCCCCTTTTACAGAGCAAAATTGGATGTTGTTTACCTTTATGCCTGTGCATTTCTACATATTAAACCCTCTGTTAAAGGGACACGGCATTTCTCTTGAGGCCTGTTGGCAACTCCACACATATGCCTGAAAACTAAGCTCCCAGTAGGGAATGCCTCGGCCTTTTGCGTCAAAGTTCTCCTGGTGACCATGATGACTTTGTTACGTGTGAATTTGTTACATGTGAACAGGACAGACAGTGCCCTGGGACCCTGGCCTTAGTTTCACATGCTGAGAAAGTTCGTGTTGATATCAGATTGTATGAGAGAGAGGTTAAAGGTCCTTAAAGCCAAAAATAGGCAAGGAAGATAGTGTTCAACAGATGGAGTTCAGGTTTAGGGGACTCTGAACATAATCTGTCATGATTATTACCAGAATGCCCACATTTCGCCAGCACAATGTTGGGTGGAGTCAGAGGTCATTTCGGGGGGGATCGCGGGGGAACGCAGTTCCCCCGGGTGAGGTGCAGGGGGCGGGTCACATGATGAAGCCTCGCCCCCTGCTTCCAGCCGCCCCGCTTCCAGCCCTCATTCAGCCAGGAGGAGGCAGGAGAAGAGGGAGGGTAAGTTGCTTCCTCCCCGCCTCTCCCCACCCCTGCCTGCCTGGGGTCAGGGAGGGCCTTGGCGGGGCTTCCTCGCACTCCCGCTGGCCTTGCAGGTCCACCGCCGGGCCCCTGATGTCAGGGGGTGTGGCATATGCTAATGAGTTATGCTAATGAGTTCCCCTAGCTCTTTTTCTACGAAATGACCCCTGGGTGGAGGCATTATTTGCTGTGATCTAGGCCCAGCACTGCATACACTGAAGCAAGGGAAACAACCGGGCCTGCTCTCGTGCCTTGAGCAATGGCTTGATCAATGGTGTCATTGACAGAGATTGGCAGAGCAGTTTTCTTTGCAACAGGAAGAACAGCCAGATCTCTTGCTACATTTGCAAAACCAGGCTGCTGTTTACAGGCACAGGAACAGGATCCTGGGAGGAAAGGTGGTGAGCCCCCCCCCCAACCCCTCCTGTTCCCTCTCAGGCTGAAAAAGTCTCTCGCTCCACACCCACAGCAGTTTTGCATGTAAACACTCAGGTCCCTGAAAGGTCAAAAAACCTCAAAGGCAGAAATGAAACTTCATACATTTAAAGTACCTCGAACACATTAAGGGAATCTCAGCAAGTCTTGGGGAGGGGGAGGGGATCAGCAGGATAGAAGGCCGCAGAGGCGGGGCGGTAGCCAGGATTTTATTTTATTTTTTGCTTTGAGGGGCATTTAAATAAGTCGGGGGCACCCCCGCATACACCCCCAGGCTGTGTCAGGAGCGATGAGAGAATAAAAGCTTTAAACAGTGATGAGAGAGAGAGAGAGAGAGAGAGAGAGAGAGAGAGAGAGAGGCAAGAGGGGTGGGCACCAGCAGTCCAGGTAGGACAGGGTGAGAACATAAGAACATAAGAGAGGCCAATGCTGGATCAGGCCAATGGCCCATCCAGTCCAACACTTGGTCACACAGTGGCCAAAAACACCAGGCGCCATCAGGAGGTCCACCAGTGGGGCCACGACACTAGAAGCCCTCCCACTGTTGCCCCCCTCCCCAATCACCAAGAATACAGAGCATCACTTTCCCCAGACTGAGAGTCCCTATCTATGTTGTTCAGTCGCACAGTCAAGCCTGACTCTTCGTGACCCCATAGGCCACATCATGCCAGGCCCTCCTGTCTTCCGTCGTCCTCCGGAGTTTTCTTAATGTCATGTTCATTGCATCAATAACACTGTCTAACCATCTCATCCTCTGACGGCTTGGCGTAGCCATGGCATGCACAAAAAATAAAATAAACCAGCTGGATGGGAAGCCAGGAGGTCTGGGTGGGAAGTCGGGGGGCCCAGCCCCGAGATGCCCCACTGTAGCTACGGGCCCACACAGCAGCCACCCTCCAAAGCAGACATTTCCTCCGGGGGCACTGATCTCTGTCAGCTACAGATCAGCCGTAATTCCACAGGTCCTCCAGACTCAACCTGGAATGGGCAACCCCAATAGGTAATATTGTTCAATCTCTACTGGTTCTGTATCTAGCAGGTCAATTCCCACCCCCACCCCCCGGCAAGGCTCACGTCCCTTCAAGAGCTGCAAGGTTGCCCATAAACTATATCCCCTTCCAAGAAGAGAGGGGATAATACATTTATGATGAGAAAGGGGGGTGGGGGTGGTTAAAATATTGCAAATTGCGGAAAGGCTGAAGAAGGGCATGAAGGGTTCTCGAACCTTAAAACTTGTTATGCGCAGCCCTGGAATGGCAGGCAGAAATTCAACAGAGAGAGAGCTTTCTTGGCATGCAGCAGAAGGGATGGAAAAAGCCTTTTTTCCCCTTCCAGCACAGCCAGCAAGCAACATTTGAGTCCAGTGGCACCTTAAAGACCAACAAAATATCCAGGGTATATGCTTTCAAGAGTCAAAGCTCTCTTTGTTGGATGCAAGGAGGAATGAAGATCCCTGACGTCCTACTGGACTCTAATCCTCCTCCTCTACTGCAGACCAACATGGCTCCCCACTCGAGTGCAATTCTAAACAGAGCTCTTACTCTTCTCAACCCATTGACTTTGTGGGCTGCCTGACAGGGATGCCAGCCTCCAGGTGGGACCTGGGGATCCCCCAGAATTACAGTTCATCTCCAGACTACAGAGATCAGTGCCCCTGGAGAAAAATGGACGCCGTGGAAGGTAGACTCCCTGACATTGTGCCCCACTGAGGTCCCTGTCCTCCCCAGGCTCCATCCCCAAATCTCCAGGAGCTTCCAAGCTTGGATCTGGTAACCCTAACCCCCCTATTCCTGCCAGTGGCAGAGGGGAACTAGCTACCCTAACCTGAAAGGGTGAAACCCTGTTTAGGAACGTACTGGAAGGGTTCAGAAGGTCTGGCCAGAAGGTTGGCAACTCTGTTTTCTGCCCCCGTGTAGCTGAATTCCTCAGGCACGAGAAAGAGATCGATTGCAGCGGCCGCCTCTCAGAGTGGGTGGCGGGAGAATCTGCCCTTTGTGTTGCAGACTCTGGGGGGGGGGGTTATTCCTCAAAAGCACCCATTGGTTCGATAGACTCTTGCAAGAATCAGTTAAGTGGGCCCGAGTACTTGGGATCTCTGCCAAAGGCTTTCATGAAAGAATTCGCTTTTGCCCTGTGCTGACCATGAGATATAATCATTGCAAGTTAACTATGGTCCTTTCTGCACTAGACTTTAAATCCTGGTTCAACCCTGTCCCCAAAATTACATTCTAAACTATACGTGAGTTCATCCCTGTAATTATCTCGGGGTATTTTTACATTCTACACTACACTCAAGTTCACCCCCGTAATTATCTTGGGGTATTTTTTTGTTCCTGCATTACATTGAGGTCAGCCTGGTTTCACCCCACACTTGTCCCGGGATAAACGGATGGTGTTATAACCAGGGATAAATGCAAAGTACTGTGTCATGAGTTGAACTCTGATAAAGCCGGGGATGAGATCCAAGTATGGAAAGGATCTATGAAAGCTCTTCAGAGACAAGCCTTTTTACTTGGCAGCTGAGCTTGCCTTTTAGCCCTTCTGTGAATCTGACTTCCTCCTTCCTCCAAATCAAATATGAAAGGGTGCCTCCGTTTAATTATTGCCCTTCTCTCCTATCAAACTTTCCAAGTGCATGAAAGACCCAGACTCTCCCCCTTTTGTTTTTGTGAAAGAATTATTTGGAATATTACCACCAGATACGGCAGCTGCTGACACATCACAATGCCTGTGCAGAAGTTGGATATCAAGAGAGATTTGCTTACCGGTTGTAACCAAAGGCTGCTTGAAGAGACTGGAGGATCAGCGGCCACCAGTTGTTCACTGGCTCTCAGAAACTCTCCCTTCTCTTTTTGTGTTACTTGATTAGAGGCTGAAGTCTCATAGGAAATGGGGAAGAAAATTTCTGGAGAGTTAACAAGCAAATACCTCGCTGGGGCACACTTAACAGAAGTGGTGTCATTTCCTGTAAGTAGCGTGAGTTTTTGTCAGCCACTGCATGCATCTTCTCAGGCTGCTGGTTAGAAACCTCATTTCCTTCTGGATGCTAAACGCAGGTATTCATTGCTATACATAAGCATTTGAAAAATGGAACATGATTTCAAGAAAAGCACAAAACTCCCTCATCCCTGGCTGACAGCTAGGACTGGTAGGTTTGCAAAGTCCAGGTTGCAAAATTCCTGGAGATTTGGAGGAGTGGAACCTGGGGAGGGCAGGGTTGAAGACTATGTGGTTTCCTGCCAAAGCAGGCAACTTGTTCTCCTTATACTAAGGAACAAGTCATGTCAGACTAACCTTAACTCTTTTGTTGAGAAAGTTACTACCTTGCTGGATCAGGGGAATGCTGTAGACATAGGTTATCTTGATTTCAGTAAGGCTTTTGATAAGGTTCCACATAATATTCTTGTTGGCAAATTGGTAAAATGCGGTTTGGATCCTATTACTGTTAGGTGGATCTGTAATGGGTTGACAGTTCGCACCCAAAGAGTGCTTGTTACTGGTTCCTCATCCTCTTGGAGAGGAATGACAAGTGGAGTACCTCAAGGATCTGTCCTGGGACCTCTTTTGTACATCTTTATCAGTGCTTTGGATGAAGGAATAGAGGGAATGCTTATTAAATTTGGAGATGATACTAAATTGGGAGGGATAGCAAATATGGTAGAAGACAGAGTCAGGATATAGGATGATCTTGACAGGCTGGAAAACTGGGCTAAAACAAATAAAATGAAGTTCAGTGGGGATAAGTGTAAAGTTCTGCATTTAGGTAAGAAAAATCAAATGCATAATTAAAGGATGGGGGAGACTTGTCTTGGCAGTAATATGTACGAAAAGGATCTAGGGGTCTTAGTAGCACATACACGGAACATGAGCCAGCAGTGTGATGCAGTAGCTAAAAAGGCAAAAGTGTCCAGATCACGCGAAGTAATCCTATTGCTGTACTCTGCTCTGGTTGGACCTCATCCGGAGTACTGTGTTCAGTTTTGGGCACCACCAGGGGTCATTTCATAGAAAAAAGAGGTGCAGGAGTTCATTAGCATAACTTATTTGCATAACTTATTTGCATATGCCACACCCCCTGACATCACTGGAAGTATGTCAGAAGGCAACACCCACTGCTCAGGCTCTACTGGACTGTTTTGGATTGCTAGCTATTATGGGAGGGGAAGGAACTTGCAGATCTCTCCTCACAGAGGAGGGAGAGCTTGTACCTGAATAAAACCTGGTCTTAAAGGTGCCACTGGACTGTTTTGGACCGGGGGGGCGGAGAGGGGGTGCTCTGCAGCTTACCTGGCTGCTTCTTGCTCTGACTGAGGGCTGCTGGGAGCAGGGGGCAGGGTTTGTTGCATGTGCCCGCCCCCTGGGCTCTTTACTGCCGGAGCTCCACTCCCATGCGCTCCTGCAGGAAATGACCCCTGGGCACCACAATGTAAGAAGGATACAGACAAGCTGGAATATGTCTGGGGAGGGCAATGGAGATGGTGAGGGGTCTGGAGACCAAGTCATCTATCATCTATCTATGTATCTTCTCTTTGGAAGCTTTCAAGCAGAAGCTAGGTGGCCATCTGTCAGCAATGCAGATCCTGTGAACTTGAGAGGGCCATGAGAGGGAGGGCACGAAGGGTTGCCTCAGTGCTTAGTTCTCGTGGCCCCTTTCTTACACGCCCAGGGAAATGCTGATTGCCACTTCGGGGTCAGGAAACAATTTTTTCCCAGACCAGTTTGGCCGGGGATCCTGGAGTTTTTTTTTGTCATCTTCTGGGCATGAAACTGGGGTCATTGGGTGTGTGTGGGGGGAGGTATTTGTGAATTTCCAGCATTGTTCAGGGGGTTGGACTAGATGACCTTGGAGGTCCCTTCCAACTCTATGATTCTGTGGCGCACAGCTTGGGGCTCTGAAGCCCACAGGGGCTGTGAGTCTGATGCCTCTGGCTTGCAGCCAGGCATTCAACACACTCCTGAACCTGTGGCTGTGATTTCCCCAAGAAGCACTTTCCTGGGGGCACCTGCTTTGGGGGGGGGAACTTTAACTCACCCTCCCTAAATCCAGCCCTCACCAAACTCGGAGGGCCAGTAGAGGAGAGTTATCTGGAGACTCTCTGTGAATTTGGTTCCTCTAGCCCATGGGGGGGGGGTCCATTCTACCATTCCACAAACCCCACAAACCCACAAACAATGAATCGGTTCATTAAGCAGAAAGATTCATGAAGGTTCATGCTTCATGAGACCCCCCCCCATGAACCATAAACCTTCACAAACCTCCATTTTCCTAGTTCATGACCAGCCCTACTCCAGATCGCAGAGATCAGATCCCCTGGAGGAAATAGCAGCTTCGGAGAGTGGACTCTGTTTCAACCATTGGGACTGCACACATTGTGATTTTGGAACCCAGATAAAAACTGGAAGAAAGGAGATAATACAGTCACAAACAATGTGCCATCTGGGTTTTCTTACAACCTACATCCCATGTAGCTAGGGTTGCCAGGCCAACATTCGCAACCAGCAGGAGGTTTGGTGGTAGGGATATGCAAGTAGGCAGTGCCCTCCCAATGGCATACATATCGCTACACTGTCCCATTGGGATTTATCCCCCGTGGTGGTCCTTCTAGACCACCATTCTGTTTCACACAGTGACCAGCTTGCTGCCCTAGATGGCCTTGATGGCCATAAAGGCCAACGCCTCTATGACAGACCCCTGGCACTTCCCCACTATAAGGCAGGTTTTCCTGCCCCCAAAATTTGTTATTAAGTGACATCCTCCTTCTGGTGTTACCTCCAGCACTTATATTCAGAGGTTTCCTGTCTCTCAAAACAGAAAATATTTTAAGTCACGATAGCTAGTATCCCTTGATGGACCTCTTGTGCAACACCTTTATAAAGAACATCACGCCTCTTAAAACAATTGGGCATTTATTTTTAAGTACATGTTTCGGAAAGAGAAGATTTGGAAACCTGAACACAGAAAGAACGGACAGCTATAAAAAATAATTTCTTCACACAGAAGCATACAACGTCAAGGGCGACATTCATTTCCCCCCCCTTTCCTTAAAAAGTCAATGCGCTGCCTTTCTCGTGTCTTTCAGGATGAGTTCCCTGGATCTGAACTCAGCACTACCAAGTCAGCATCGGATGCTATGCACCTCTTGAAGCAACCGCACCTGTCAGGAGTGAAAAGAAATGTCATCAAGATAAAGGTGAAGTAGAAGGGAGTATGGCCAGAAGCGTTCGGACCAAGGGTGTAGACTTTCCAATTTCCCGGGGGGGGGGGGCTGGGGCTGGGCCAGAGGCATTGCTTTGCTAGGAGCAAGGGTGGCTCCCGGGGGAGGCTGAGCACCTTCCTGAAAATTTCGGCGGGGGCTCACGCCCCGCCGCCCCCACAAAGATTACGCCTATGGTTCGGACCACTGACAGATCTCACTGCTCAACCAATCCTCAGAGTCCTTCCATGCTGATAGTCCAAGACCTCTATCAGGGGTCTGCCACCTTTTATAACAAAAGAGCCAAACTGAGTCAAAATTCCAACAAAGAGGATAAGGAAGCCCAGTGGAATAACTGAAAAGTTACAACATAACATCACCGATAATTGAAGTATTTGTTAAGTATCCATACAGTTCTTCCCACTTCAAACACAGGCTGTTGAAAGCAGTGTTCCCTCTGAGCTGAGTTAGTGCGAGCTCGCTCACAGTTTTTTAGCCTCCGGCTCACCCATTTTTGTCTTAGCTCAGGAAGGAGGGCTCCAGAGCAAACTGATTTAGGCAGCAGCCAGTTCACTTGCTCACAACTTTAATGCCAGTAGCTCACAAGGTAGAATTTGTGCTCACAAGACATCACAGCTTAGAGGGAGCATTGGTTGTGTGAGTCTTCTATTAGGAAGTGGCACTCACAAGGCCTCCCTATAAGTCATTAAAGCACAGGTGCATGGTGGGCAAATTGTTTTCATTTGCTGGAACAAATCTGCCCATGGTTCATTCTTGGATTCCTGGTAACCCTTCATCTGTTTTTCTGCTTTCTGAAAGGCATCTCTAAGAAGCTCTTGAGTCTCAGATGAATCTTTGCCTGCCTTTTCCTTCTCATAACGGTTCTTTTTCTGGCATCCTACCAACCCTCTCAATATGCTTAACTTAAAAGATTTCCTATTCTTTTTTAGAGTGTTGTCTTTGGTTCCTTACTGAGACACATTGTTGTCTGGAGCCAGAAGCTGCAGGTGTTGACGTTATCACTTCCAGACAGGCTCTTAATCATTTAAGAAAATCCACGTGGTGATCAGATCTAATTGTTCAGGTAGATACTCACCTTTTATAAGAAACAGAATGCTTGAGGCCCAGCCAGTACCAGAGGACCATCCAACATTTGTCCCAGGCAATGAGAACTGATTAAAGTACACTTTTGTAAATATAGCCATTGCAACCATGCAGCAAATCCCTGGGAATACACAAAAAAAGGAGTTATCCCTTAGGACCCCCCAATTCCAGAAGAAGAAGATGATGAAGATGGAGGAGGAGGAGGAGACTGGATTCATACCCCACCCTTCACTTGGAGTTTAAGAGCAGCTTACAATCTCCTTCTCTTCCTCTCCCCACAACAGACACCCTCTGTGGTGGGTGGGGCAGAGAGTGCTCAGAGACAACTGCTCTTGAAAGAACTGCTCTGAGGGAACTGTGACTGACCCAAGGTCACCCTGCCTGCATGTAAAGGAGTGGGGGATCAAACCCGGTTCTCCAAATTAGAATCCACGGCTCTTTACCACTACACCACACTGGCTCTTGTACATGCCTCACCATACAGATAATTACTGTGTGTAAACTGAATTCTATCAATAAATATTATTGATATGATAATGCTAATAAACAATGTAGACATGTAAACTGTATGCTATATTACAAATGCTGAACTTCTTAAA